GGTGTGCAGCCGCCCTCGCGGGACCGAAGCGCGGAGGCCCCCGCGGAGTCCGGGCGCGCTGCAGAAGAGCAACGCGTGGCCTTGATCCCGCAAGCGTGTGCGTTAAGGAAGGGGAGACGTGAAGAGAGAGCTTCTCCGCTGAACCTGTGCGATTACTGCTGAAACCGAAGAATTTGAAGCAGGGGAACCTAATTAGGATTTATAGGATGAGACAAGTTAAGGATATGCTTTGTATTTGCAGGGTTAGCGGTAGACCCTTTGGGCATTATCTACCAGCCCTTATATCTGCCAAGCAGATAATATTTAAAAAGAGAGTAAAAGGTATGCATGTAGCTATAAACAAATCTTAGTTTCTCCAAGACATCCGTTCATGACTGTCTTCAGCTTTGTTTTTCTGAAGAGTAGATGAGGCCCTTGTCCTCTTGAGCACAATGCTTTAGGATCATGTGTGCTCCCTCTGAAGTCCATATGACAACTGAACATCCTAAAATGTTGACAAGATCTGGTTCAAGACTGTGAGCCCACAAGTGGCAAGATGCTCTTTTTTATTACAAAGTGCAGTGCCCTCGTGTGTGTACATATGCAGTGCTCCTGTGTGTGTACATAAATTCTGCCTACAAATTGCTGTGCTTGCTACCAACAATGTATAGTGGTCAGAATACTGACCTAAAACATTTTGTGGTGGGTGGTTTCCCAGAACCTGAAGAAATAACATGTATTCCTATGAACTTAAACAGAAACATATGTGTACCTGCAAGCTTGATTTAGCTGGGACTTTGTTGTTTCACTTAAGTAACCACTATAGGATGAGTATGTTGTACGTTCTCAGCCTCAGCCAATTATTTATAAAATTGAGGTACATGCAAGGATGTACAAGCACAAGTTCCCTGCTCTCAAGGTATTCAAATGTAACTTCAGTGTGGCAAGATTACTGTGACAGCTAGAATGAACATGTGTACACAAACACACAAAATCAGTTAGGTGCAACTGGTTTAATTGCTTATGAGCAGAAGGTCGATCTTTTCATGTTAAGCTGGTTGCTGACTGAAGAACAAAAGCTGTTTATTCTGAGAGAACCAGAGGGTAGCTATTCCATAAGGGCACTGTCTTGCTATATGCCAGCAACTGTGGAACACAATGACTCAGAGGAGGCCTGAAACCTGGGGGCTGACAGGGGTTGGGGTGCTGCAGAAGCCCTAGCAAAAAGGTGTGCTTTCTTCCGTTCCCTCTCCCAGGCTGGCATTCAGAATGGCTGCAGTGGTAGTGTTGGGAAACATATCAGAAGGATGCACAGCTTCACTACAAAATGTGTGATCCTTTAGTTGAAAAGATTTGAAACAATTTTTTTTTAGTACAATGATTCCTGCCTCGTTCCTTCTTTTCCTTCACTTCACCTGAGATTCAAAGGTTTGGAATGTCTCTTTAAACAACTCACTCTTGGCTACAGTGGCTCCTGACAAAAAATGGCTTTGACACAAGTTTGGGTGCAGTTTTCTGTGTCATGAAAATTAAATCTAGCTGTCTTCTCACCCTCTTCCTATTTTTGTAAATAAATTACTTCAGTGATCTGGAGATTTACGAGGAAGAGGTGATCTTTTGTATCTTTGAAATAAGAGAACAACCACCTCCAATTTAATTTAAAAAAAAAAAAATTCTGTTAAGCCTGAAGGGTGAGCATAAACAGACCAGAAGGTAGATTCCTTTCCTTTCCGGCTGTCTTCCAGAGAATCTTCACTTGGTTCAGAGGAAGTTTCCCATTTTACATCGTGATTCTTCTTTATGGGAGGGGTTTTTTTATTCTCTGTTTCTCAGACATTTTCCTGTAGATGGGAACGGGGGAAGGAGCCCAGACGTGGCAACACATTCTCAGGCTCCTGCAGGACCACCATGGCTTATGATGACTCCAAGAAGAAAGAAGGTATGACTGCTTCATAATCTCAGAGGGAGTTGCCAAAAAAAAGGGTACCCTCTGCAGCCCTTGCCAGGCCATGCAGTCAGAGTGGGAAAGGAAGCTAGTATGCTGTGGAGCCCTTAAATTTAACCTGGCCGAGTTGTTGGAGGATCCCAAGCCCTTGACTTCCAGGTGTAAAGTACTGAGATTAGAACTTGAGAGAAACGGGGGGTATTTCCTAACACAAGCACCTTGATTGGAAGTTCTGCCACTGCAGCCTTTCTTCTCCCTCCCAGGTCAATGGAACAGGAGACCAGGGATAGGGGTCTGTTTAGTCATGGCAACATTTCTAGGTCCAGTTGTCTTTAGGAAGAAATATACAAGGGTTAGAATTGAAATCTTGAGTGACTGTGTTATAGCATTAGAGCATTAAGCCCCATCCCTGTGGTCAGAGAGTAGAGATTGTTATCTTTTAGACCCCTGTGCTAGTTGGGTTTTGTGCATCACTCTGTGCCAACATCCACTGTTATCTTATTTTGTGCATAGTCCACATGCCTATCGTTCCTTAATGGGGTATTTAATTTCTTCCTTTTTTCCCATTTCACGTAAATCTTAGAGTTCCTAGAGAGTGACCGAAGTGTTGATGACGTGGGGCTGGCAACTGGCAGGATACAGCGAGAGAAAAAGCGCTCTTACAAGGATCTGCTGCAAGAGGAAGACGAGATAGCAACTCAGGTCAGGAAGCCCTAGAGAAAAGGTTGAAGGTGTAAGAATATGTGTAAGGCTAGTGATGGAATGGGGTGGATGGGCTTCTTGTTCTTTATACAGAAATGCATGTAGAAGGCAGCAAGAGCAGCTAATCATGTCCTGTATTGTTCAGTAACTTTCCTGGGGAAAAGGAGGGGGTTAATCCCAATTACAACTGATTCTGATTTTTCTGGCCTCAGAAAATAGGGTAGTAGGATGCTGTCCTAGTCTTGATGTAGAACCTTGCAAGTCATAAGACAGCATGAATAACTTCTTTACATAAAAAAAGATTTTTAGAATTTATGGTTGTATAAATAGCCAGCAAAGGATGAATATAATGTTAACTGATGCGCTGTTGTCTTCCTGATTCTGCAGACAGCCTGAAACGATAGCTCTTGAGAGGTATGAACTTGCCCTATTCACCTCTTTGGGGCCTTAACTCTAAAATCACGTAGTGACAACTTAAGTTTCTTCAAAACTTTCCTTTTTGAGCTAAAATTTCTGCTGTTAGCTCAAAGGTGACTGTCTTGTGATTATTTTATTTCAATCTGAAAAAGAAGTTCTAGTTTGAAAACATTTTTCTGCCATGCAGCTGGAATTCTGTAGAGGAGCTTCGTTTTCAGACCATAAATTGGTCAGAAACAAATAATAATTGTGTGACATGACATATTAAGGCCAATTTTTTGGCCCGCCATTTTAATTGTCACCTCTCTATACCTCCTTTCACTTCTTTTATCTTTTTCAGCATATTAAACATGAACTGTTCACCTTCATTTTCAAGGCTTGACAGCCTACGCATGCTTAGTTATTTCTTAGCTTTATAAAGAGGTAGATGTCTGTCTTTTATCAACTCATCAGCTGATCTCCAAGTGCTGGCTTTCATTGCCCATTTCTTAACACTTTCAAATGTGCTTTTTCGAGTTTTCTTGTGTATTGCTCCTCTCACATTGGGGGAGCTCCCTATAGAGATTTATCTTTCAGTTTCTGTATGGCCTTGTGCTGCAACACCTACAGAAAGCTTGATGCCGGTTAGGTGGCTGATGTGCTGACACCAATCATGACTAATACCATTTTTTGTATTCTCCTACCTATCCGTACCATGCTTTTTGTCTCTTACCTTAAACCTACACTGTGGGCTCTTGGGGACAGAGTATGTTTCCTTTGCTTGTTTTAGCACTTAGAATAATGATCCTGGTTCATACCTAGGGTTGCTTGATGTTACAGTAGTACAAATAACTCTTGCTATCTCCTACAAATTATTATCTATGTCAATAGTCCATGTGAATCTCGTATTATTTCCCTCTTGTTTGTCAGCAACGTTTTTCTTCTTATTCTAGGACAGTGAGCTTTTTCCAGGGACAGAACCTCACAAAAAGAAGAGAAAGCACTCCTCGGATGAGTTCTGCTACAGAGGTAAAGTAGTGATCAGGCAGGGGAAGGGCCTAACAGATCATGACTTTGAGGAAAGGATACTGTTAAACCAGTGTCATTAAGCTTTGTGGTTAGCACTTTATTGGGGGAAGGTACATCAGCCTCTCAGGAGAAGTAATCAGAAACCTGACGCTGATCAGCACCAGACAGCAAAAGATTAGGAAATTATACTTTCAAGAGTTTAGCTTAACAAGTTGCCATTGTTGGGGGTAGAGATCTTCCACCCCCCTTTTCACTGACAAGTTGTAGTTTTCTAACCCTTTTGGCATTTGCATTTCTTTTTTCCCTATTGCATTACAAATTGTAATTTTACTTGCAGATAGTATTACTTTCTCTAAATTTATAAAAATAGAATGCATCAGGGTGAAAAATAAATGCTTTTGGGTTCAATTTAAATATAGAAACATTATTCTCACAATTAATAAGCTGGCCAGAAAATGACACTGTTCATTTCTGTTCATAAAAGCTTAACAGGTTTAAGATTTATTTTTTGGCCCAATGGAAAGAGAAAGCCAAGCTGAAATTTTGTCAGAATCTGCTTTCAGAGTGAAAAAGCTTGTACTTTCAATTCATTGGTCTCACCTTGGCTAAAAATGGCACAAAACCCTTGCACTCGAGATGTAATTTCAGGCTCAATAAGATATGTTTTCATCAAAATACGTTATTTCACAATAGAATACAGTTTGACAAAACTTCAAGAACTTTCCTGCTCTGTCTTTCTGCCTTAAATTATTTGACCAGCTCAGGCCTTATAGCTCCTGAATTGCATCAGTAAGGCTGCGCTGAGCTGGCTACAAGCTTCAGAGATCTTCTGTTTAAACCAGGATGCAAATCTGTTAGCTGTAGTCAAAGTCTTGCAGGATTCCCACTTCACTTCTTCGGGCTAATGTAACGCTGTCTTTAAGGGAATCATCTTGGTGTACATTTCTCTCGATCTTTTTCAGGTGTTTCACCTTTGGATCTACCATCAAAGAAGAAGAAAAAAGCAATTTCTAGCCCATCCTCAGCTGATACAACCATGGATTTACTCAAGGCTATCACTTCACCTTTGGCCACAAGCTCAAAGTCTTCAAAGAAGACCTCTGAAAAATCGTCTTATTCTTCCTCTGGCCATTCTGAAAGCAAAAAGGAGCACCACAAGAAGAAGCTGAGTGGGAGCAGTGGGGAGCATTCAGTGGATGATGGCAGCTTTCATAAATCTAAAAAAATGAAACCTCTCTATGTGAACACAGAGACACTTACTCTTCGTGAACCTGATGGCTTGAAGATGAAGCTCATTCTTTCACCAAAAGAGAAAAGTAGTGCAGCAGATGATGATTCTTTCTCCTACTCTTCAGCACCAGCAACTGCGAAGAAATCTTCAAAGAAATCAGCTCGAGATGAGCAAGGCTCATTTCTGCTGAGTCATGAACTGCAGAGCTTCCTGAAGTCATCCCGGAAGAAGCACAAACCACCTCCAGACCCACATCCACCTTCTGAGAGTTTTGGTGCTGACACCTCCCTTTTTTCAGAAGGCCATGGGAGCGAGTATGAAATTTCAGGTATGGAGGCACCACCGGAATCTGGTTCCTCTTCTGGTGGGGAGTTGGAGGCTGGAGAGCTAGTGATAGATGACTCCTACCGGGAAATCAAGAAGAAGAAGAAGTCAAAAAAGAGTAAGAAAAAAAAAGACAAGGAGAAACACAGAGAGAAGAAGCACTCTAAGTCTAAAAAGAGTTCTGGGCATGCTCCTGTGGCAGTAGCAGAAGTAACGGTGTCACCACCACCTCCTCCCAGTACTCCCTATGTTCTTCCTCCACCTCCTCCTGCTGTTTTTCACTCAGATGGTCAAGGTGAGAAGAGGAGGAAAAAGGAAGACAAGGAGAAGGACAAAGCTGAGAAATGGGAAAAGGAAAAGGAAAGAGAAAAGGAAAAGGAAAGAGAAAGAGAAAGAGAAAAGGAAAAGGAAAGAGAAAAGGAAAAAGAAAGAGAAAAAGAAAAGGAAAGAGAAAAGGAAAAAGAAAGAGAAAAAGAAAAGGAGAGAGAAAAGGAAAGAGAAAAGGAAAAGGAAAGAGAAAAGGAAAAGGAAAGAGAAAAGGAAAAGGAAAGAGAACGAGAAAAAGTAAGGAAAAATTGGAGGGAAAATAGAAGTTGGGTGATGGGTAATGGTGAATTAGGCACTCCATTACAAAGGCATGTTAAATTCAAACAGAAGGACTGCTAATACCAGGATCAATGGTTTCACTGAAGCATGTTTGGAAAACTGTGTCAGCCACTGTGATTTCTCTTTGTAGCAAAAGGTATATATATCATTCTGATTTTGTGGCACAGGCAGTCTTTAGCTGATGGAGGTTATTTGAAAAGGTTATACTTTATTTGCTTGGTACAGGTTATGTACCAAGCACAACTGCATCATTTTCTAAGGTAACCAGTTCTAGCAATTGCCAAACAGACTTTTGGACTAGTGATCTAGTCCATCATCATAGTTCCTGTAAAAAGGAATGGAGCTCTAACCTCAAGAGTGAAGATATTTACCCATTTACTCCTCTATTCAAATGAAATTCTAATTCTTACAAACTACCACATTCCCAGTTTTGTTCTGTACTCATAAATTCAGTTTTCTCTGGTTAGTGTATAAAAATATGAGTAGGAGAAATGGTAGCTAGCATATGAATGAGTTTAAAGGTGATATAACTGCAGCTGTTTAAGTATATAAATGGGGAAAAGCAGTTTCTCTATGTTCAGATAGACAAGAGTTGCTTTGTGTCAGGAAACGGGCAGATGTAGCCCAAATTTGTTCACCCATTATTCTGTTCTATTTGGTAAGTTTTCTCTGATCATAGCTCAGCAAATGCTTATGCCTCTGCTGTCAATGTACTTATACTGTGTGTTTTCCTGCCAATTTGAAGTTTTGTAAGGTTGCAAGGAATGGAACAAAACATGATGAGGACTGAATTGTTTTGACAGATCTATGATAGGTACTGTGAATACTAGGACACATTTTTATTATTATTTTAAGTTTTAAAACTGAGATATGGTAACAGAGCTGTAGGTTGATCCTAGATTTAGAATAACAGGTTATTGTAACTTACGAATGAAATGCATTGGTAGAGTTGTTGCAAGATAAGCCTCATACTAAGACTGGTTCTGGCTGGTTCCTGTGCTTTCATAAACACTAAATTCAGCCAGAACATGTAAAACACTGCTTTTTTAGGTTCCTGATCCAAGCACCACATCTTTCTTTAAGTCTTCAACAAATGCCAAATTCTTACTAAATTTGAGTAGGTCTCATTATAACTAAAAATCTTTGTTTCCTTTTCTTCTTCTGTCTAGCCAAAGAAGAAAAACATGTCTGCCTATCAAGTGTTCTGCAAGGAATATCGTACAACTATAGTGTCTGAGCACCCTGGAATAGGTGAGAGAATAATCTAGCTTTCTTTTCTCTTGCTTATACGCTGGTCAGGCTAATTACCAGAATATATCATCTCTGTTTCATACCAACTTCTTAATTTTGACAGAATGCAAAGAATCTGCCAGTTGTCTTTGGATTAAGTAAGAGGTGGCAAAGGGGACAGGAGTGGGTTTCATGATTGATTTCATTGCATTTTAACCAAGCTCTGAACCTGGATAAAGAAATGGCTAGCTTGCTCTTTCTTTACTTAAAGAGTTATCTTCATTGTGTCACTTTCCTGAATGTACATGTGTCATTTTATATTCCTGGTATCAGCTTCTTTTTTCATTTTAAATGCTCATGGGAATACATACGGGCAATCATTTTCAGGACAGTGTGGAGAGTTCCAGTTGTGGAATGGGTTGCTTCCTAAACATGTATGCATGGGCCAGTAAATTTCCTATGTTCTCTCCATGACTTTATGATTTCATTTGTTTTAAACATTTTTCTTCTTTTGTTCTGCCAGATTTTGGAGAGCTAAGTAAAAAACTGGCAGAAGTCTGGAAGCAACTACCTGAGAAGGATAAACTGGTGAGTGTGTGTGAGATGTTTTTGTAAAATGATTTCTGTAAACTAGGTGCTTAGGTCAGAACATGCTGGCAGCATTGCCACCATACCTTGAAAAATGCTATGTCCCCAAAGTATGTAAAGATGGAAAGTATGGAAACCTTGCCCTTGAGATCATAAAAGCATCCAATTTTTTCTCAGGGTATTGCTTCACCAGTTAGCTACATAACATCATTCTGCCTCCAGGTCCTGGCATCAGGTTACAGAATTACCTAATGTTATGAATCTCTCTTCTCATACCATGGTAACTGCAGATCTGGAAACAGAAAGCTCAGTATCTCCAACACAAGCAGAATAAAGCAGAGGCCACCACTGTGAAGAGAAAGGCATCATCTTCAGATGGTGCACCAAAAATAAAAGGTAATTGTTGCACTTTATTTGCTCTGGTCTTCTTTCTTGGACAGGGAAGATAGAGTTGCCTGTGGAATAAGGAAAAAGGTCCTGTCCTGCTTCACACCCCCTACCTGCTTTCTCACAAGTCTTGATGTTTAACTCAAAAACAATGTTTCTGTGAGAGTGAGAATGTCAGCATTTTTTAAAAAGATTTCCTTGTCTAATTTGTAGAATGATACTGGGTTTAGCAGTTTAGGGATTGAAATGTAAAATAAGAAGAGGCAGCAGGGGAGTTCTAGTGGGATTAGTTTGCTGCTAGAGGAAAAAGAGTTGTTCTTGGCTTGGCATCTCTGTTTATCAAATCTCCCAAACCAAATCTCCCAAACTGCATTCAGCTGAGGTAGATGCTTTGTAAAGTTTTGACTCCAAAGACCACAGGACCAGGTCCACACAACTATTTAAGCATCTCATGCCTTTGAGATTTGAACTTTATGTAAAGTTAATAAGCTTGTAAGTAAAGGAATGAAAGAAGATAATATGGAATTTTAATTTGTGTTTCCAGCTTCTCCAACAGGTGTGATTTCCCCTCATAAGAAATCCCCCACCAGCACTGTGGTGGTGTCTTCCTCACCAGCTAAAGTCCCTGAGACAGATCCTATTGATGTAGCTGCACACTTACAGTTGCTGGGTGAATCTCTGAGCCTCATTGGACACAGACTGCAGGAAACAGAGGTGAGTCTAACCAGTGATGTCATGTAATCTACACACAGGATTGGGGGCGGGATTATTATTTTATTTTACTTAAAAGTTTAGCCAATGCTTTTCTGTTAGGAAGAGATATTAGAGATGGTGTGTCGTGTTTCTTTGATGCATTGCTGTTTGTTTTCAGTGAAATAAAAGGCTTGTTTCTCAGTGAACAGTAGGCAGCAAAGACAGACAGGTCCTTTGCAGCTCTAGGTCCTTGAAGGCAATTCTTAGTTCAACAAACTCTTCAGTCTTTTCTTACTATATGTTCACCTTGGAACTGGTACTTCCTTGCTGTCTTTGCCAGTCTCTGGTCCAGTTTCTGTTACTGTCTCAAGCTGCCTTAGAAAACCATCAGAGAAGGGCTTTACCAAGATGGTTTTTGCGTGTCCTGTTTTCTCGCAGTTATCATATTGCCAGTGCTTTGGATAGGGGCTACTGTTGTTTCAACTTAGCTGGTAAAGTAGAAGATGTCGTATTTTAGAATCATAGAATCATTTAGGTTGGAAAGGACCTTTAAGGTCATTGAGTCCACCCATTAACCTAACACTGCCAAGTCCACCACTAAACCATATCCCTAAGCGCCAGAGCTACCATTTAAACCATTTTAATGGTTTCCTACTGTTAGATGGTAGTGATTCTGTGCATGTGCATGCACACGCACGCTTTGAGAACTCAGCCCAGCCTGTAAGAAGAACGCGTATTTGGCTCAAATAATGTCATTGAATTTTATGGCTAATGTGATCATCTCATCCCACTATGCTTGCTTGTTTTATAAGCAGTAAGTAAAATAAATGTTCTTGCATTTTGCTTCTGGTGTGATCAATTGAGGTCATTCTTCAGAGGAACAACCAGAGTAAAATCTCTCCCTTTACAGAAAGGCACACAAACAAATTCCCTTTCCTGAAAGTATATCAATGACTGAAGCATGTTAGACTTAGCATTTCTTTAGACTTCAGTAATGAAACAACTTGTCTTTAGGACTCACATAGTTAACAAAATAGATGGTAGGAAATGGCAAAGAAATTACATTACAAAAAAACGTGGAATTAACTGTTTTATGCAGCTGACAACTTTCTGACCTTTTCTGTTCTTCCCTGCTTCTTTCCTACACCAGTATGTTGCCTACTAATTCTTAATTTTTTTGAGCCAGCAGTCTCGCTGCGAAGCTCATGGCATAGTTTTGTTACTGTGTAAATAATGAAAGTGGACTTGAGGAGCTCAAGAGTGAAGATACTGTATCTGTATGAGAATCAATACAGTTGTGAAAGAACCATAATTTCTACTATTCATCCCTATCCATTTATTTTTCTTTCCTTAATTCCAGGGAATGGTGGCTGTTTCAGGAAGTTTGTCAGTACTTCTGGATTCAATCATCTGTGCTTTGGGCCCGTTAGCATGTCTGACCACACAACTGCCTGAGTTGAATGGCTGCCCTAAGCACGTTTTGGTGAGTTCCTTGTGGTTATTTCCATTCTAGCACTGTTAATTGCAGTAGAGCCCAGCTAGAGTTTTTTGATGAATCAGTCCTATCATGTGATTATAATTGCAGTGCAATAAGTAAATTTTCACTTTTATAGAGGAATATTTCTTGAAATTCTTTAAGATGTTACTGTTGTACAGTATTGTGCATCTTTTTTTCTCCCAGTGGCAACTGACCTAGTATTTGTAGCATTGATTGCAGTGTGTGTAGATCCTGTTTTAGTGACTGAAATCAATCCATCTGAATCAAATAAAAGCCCCTGTACACATACCAGTATTTTTGAAAGTTCTAATTTTCCATAAAAATAAAAAGTACATTCTAGCTGCTCTGTATCACACAATCTGTTTTTCCTTCAGTAGCGTAAAAAATAGCTTGTGATCGCAGGATTCCTAATGTGATTGAGTAGGGCCTTTTAGATGTGGCTGTAACCTTCTCCAAGGAAAAAAAAATAGTCTGTGTGTTAAGGAACGGCATAACTACAGATTCTTTTCCACTTTAAACTACACTTAATAGTGAGCACTGGTTTAGCAACAGCTTGTGGCATATATGTTGTGTGATGTGGACATAGATTAAGATCGCAGCAGTATAAAAGGAATCAGGAGTCATACCTCCAACAGGAGACATGAATAAAGCAGAGAAGGAGAGGAGCAGAAATGAAAAATAAATACATAGCCTGCAAATGTTGAGATTAAAACCAAATCTGGCAGAGAGAACAACAAAAATGGGATATGAATTGGCATGTTATAGTAGGGCAGCCCAAACACTGATTCATTCTGAGAAAGGACTGTTAACAACAACAAAGTTGACAGCTTAGGCTGTGAGCTCCCACAAACTGGCTGTCTGCACAAAAGCTGAGTCAGTGGGGTGTTCCCATCCTAAGCCATGGAAAAACATCCTATGCTTTTTTTCCTTCCTGGTTGCCAAGTGCATTCAGAGCAATGACACCATATGACTAATGGTGCGTATATTGGAAACTTGATCGACTTATTGTTATAAGGAGCAATGGACCTTTAGGTGGATTAAGGCACTTAGTCTTCAATTCTGAAAACTGGCATTGAGACTTGATAATAAATAAATTATTCTGATGTTTACCATCAGATACATAATGACAGTGGTGTTTTAAGACATGGATGAAATTGTCAGGGGTCGTGTTGCATGTAGAATGCAATTTATCTTTTCAGTCAGTAGGTGGCATTGTTAAATTCTAGAATCACAACTGATGCGGCTCCAGCTCCTGTCTTCAGCAATTAAAAGGTGGTATTCCGAAGGCCTTCTTCAGCTTACTGAAATACTGCATTTGAAGAACATACAGCTAATATACTGCTGGGTCTTGTTTTCTGATGTGCACAAGAAGGACTCTTACTCTCAGAATTCTATTATGATTTGCAAGGAAAACTGCAGGGCATTTCTTTTTCTGACACCCTATTAGTGGGTGTGTTTGAGGGTTTTTCTCTTTAATTTTACACTACAGAATTTCATAACGGACTTGTGAGTGTAAAGTCAAGTAATTTTTTTTTTTTTTCATGCTACAACTTTGATCACTCAAGTCCTTCATCACCAGTCTTTCCTGTGGTTGATGTGATATGGTTGATGTGGCTTGTTTCAAATTCAGAGATAGAGTATGGGGTTCATAAGAAGGAGGTCACCTGAGGAAAGCCTCAAGCATTTCCAGTGTTTCTAGGTGCTTACAAATACTGAGGCTACCTTTCATGTTTAGTTAACTTACATTTCCAAAAATATGAAAATAAGCCTAGCAGTGATGGTGATAACTAGGCAGGTTTGGTTGTCTCGTCATATGGTAACTTGTGAAACAAGTGAACATGCTTAGTACCCTTGTCTGTGTCATTTTTTAAGGATTTTGAGTCATTACCTGACACTAAAAAATATTTAATTTCTTTTCCCAGTCAAACACACTAGACAACATCGCCTACATCATGCCTGGACTTTGATGGGAAAGGATCCTGGGGTGTACTCAACCTCTGCGTAACTGACTTGTGTACATCTGCACTACGCCGGCACTCTCGAAGGGCTCCGTGTGTAGGGTTTTACAATTTTATATCTATATAGTATATACATAGGATTGTAACTATTTGACTTCTATTTTATGAAAAGTTGTGAAGTTAAGCTGAGAAAACCCTTTTGTGTTGGTGGGTTAAATGTCCTCCAGTCTGAAAGTATTTTGTATGAAGAATTCAGAAAGCTTTTGAGATATTCGCCTTAAATTCAGATCCGTTAGTGGGGGAAGCAGCCAGAGAATGGACTTCTCGATATCAAGAAAAAAAACATGAGAAGGGTCATTGAAACAGATGGCCGAGAGAGGCTGTTGACTCTCCATCCTTGATGATACTCAAAAACTGAACGAGTAGCCTGCTCTAGTTGGACTTTCTTTAAGCAGGGGGATGGACCAGATGACCTCCTGATATCCCTTCCAACCTAAAGTATTCTGATATTCTATGGGCAGGTAGAGATGATAATATATTTTGGACCACGGAATAGAACTGAACCCTGCACCAGCCCTATTTCTAACTGGTTTTCAGTTTAAAATCTACTGCTTGAGGGGAAAGCTGGATAGCTGATCAAAGATACAGAGGTCTTTGCCTCTTGGTCACTTCTTCTAGCCCCCCCTCTCTTCAGTCAGTAGTAACTGAAAGTTGTCAGCATTAGCTGACTGGTCTGGTAGCTGGCATTTGAAGTAAAGTGGAAGATGACAACGAATTTAATCTTTTCTTGTGGACTTGCACCCAAATCGTCATTAGCACGATATATCAACCAACTGCATTGGCTTGAGAGAATGAACCTCCTGCTGATTTTTCCAGGGCGTGGTCAGCCTGCTTTGATGGAGAGGAGCGTGGAAGCAGATGGGAAAAACTTGGATTGCTTCTGCCCATCTTGCACCTGTTTTGTGAACAGACAACTTTGGTTTCTGAGATTGCTGATCCCCCATCCCTTTCACCAGCAGTATCGGAA